AGCTCGAGGGATGAAAAGAGGAGATATAAAGGCTCGAAATATATGGTCGTATACCACGAAGTTTCGAAGTGCATCTACTGTTTCAGCGGATGAACTCGCGTCGTCCGTTTTCTGCGGGCCATTCGTAAAGAAGGATTTCAATTTCGCCCCTCTCTACTGACTTTTCATGGCGACCAGAAAGAAAGTCAGGGTGAGAGGGGGAGTCGCGGTACTGAAACGCGGAGACGCGGCATCGTGGATAAACGATCGAGATAACGGACTTTATGGTTCTACGGGATTACGGGTCTCACGGCCGTTGCATAAATTCCATCGCGCGTATAATGTAAAGCTAATACGCCGGTTCTCCTCGCGATGGTCGGAACGGGGTAGCAGCGAGTAAAAAGGGGGCGCACAGGTATGGTTGGCAGTTGGGGACAGAGCGACGGGAATAAAAGGAATAAAGAACGGAAAGGCGTACAGAAAGAAACGGAGGCAACTGAGAGCGAGCAGCAGGAAGACTACCGGAGAACGCCTGGGAATAGTAAATTTCCGCTGCACCGTGGCATCGTTATTAGCATACAAGTATTTAGAATGAATTATGGGCCAGGCCGCTTATTCCCGAGGGTGGATATATTCGGTACAGGCACTCTTCCTACGTCAAGTGTATCCCTTAGGAGGTAACATTATGTTGTCTTGCATATTTCATCCTTTCACTCTCTCGATCTCTTGACGCGTTTCGTCGCGAAAGGGAGCGCGGAGAAGAAAAAGAGCGAAAGAGAGCGACGAGAGGGAGGAAGAAGAAGAAAAAGAAGAAGAAGCAAGCGCGCGTGGGCACTTAAAACCGTGACATTATGCGCGCGAAAGGTGCAACGTGAGTCGCTGCCGAGGAGGTCGAGGAGATGCACGACCTCCTGCTCCTCCTCCTCCTCCTCCTCCTTCACTCGCGACGTTCTACCTGCGTTTCTAAGCCGCTCGAATTTATGATCGGTTTACCGAGGCCGGAATCGATTCTGCGGTTCATATGCGAGCGCCAACCGCCATCGCTAAGTACTAAGGGCGCAACAACGCCCGCGCGGCGATCGTTAAAACCTGACCCGACAGATGACCCAGGTCGCGAAATCGCCGTTAATCGTTGCGCCCGCGAGTCCGGTGATTAAACCACTTTTGCGAGGTCAAACCCGGCGTTCCTACTTTATTAAGCCTGAATAACATTCCGCAGCCCGATGTCATCTGGATAGAAGGGCGAGAGATCGTCTTTGAGACCGCGGTTCTTAAAAGTAACGATCGTTAATCCAGCTTAAAAAACGCATCGTACAAACTAGTTGATTTAACAGAAAAATAATTATACGAAACACGTGTACTATATGAAGCATGATTAATCGTCTATCAAGTCACAGAATATCAGCATTTTATGAACAGCTCATGAATTATTCTCCGTTCTTAATTAACTCCGTGCCCGTATATTTTACCGGCGAACCGCAAAGAAGTATGGCAAGCCACAAAAAGCTTGCTTCTCTTCCACGACGCTTTCTTTTTTCGTGCTTTTCCTTTTCGTAGTTTCTTTCTATTTCGGCATCTTTTTTTGTGAAAGTACAGGGAAAGCCGTACACGGTCGCGCGCGGCAATTAGAAAGCCATTATCTCATGGCTGTGCGCGTTCAGCCATTGTGCAACAAGCACACGTAGGGGATGGAGGAAGAGAGGTGGATTCCCACGGAGTTAGTACACCTTCTGTGTCCGGGGGTAGATGAATGTCCGGCAATCAGGTGCAGGGACCCCCGACTGCCTTTGAATCCGTCCGCCGGCAGCTGGCTGATACATTCTCGTTGACGCGGAGCCATCATCATGCTTACGGCCCACCCGCTGTTTCGTTTTCGTGTTTGGAACACCGAACAGAGAAAACGAGCCTAAGAGAAGTCACGTCCAAAACACCGGGAATCTTTTTTAAAACGGAGGGGTCGGGGATTTTTCTAAATTGACCGTGAACGACGCGCGCCACGTTCCAGGCAAAGGGGCACGTGCAAAGTAGTCGCAAACGTAGATTTAACAGTTTACAACCGCATAAATCCAAAGGCTTTTGCTTAATGTCAAACGCTTTTCAGTTTTCAGATTATGCGAAGACGAGATATTTCATTCGCTACTTTGACCACCAAAGTCTGCTTTTGAAAGAGAACCTTTTCACTTTATGACAGAAGTTAATAACCACAAAATATTTTTCTGAAAAGAAATATTTTTTATTTTTACTTTGTAATTTGTGTAATTATTTTGTAAAAACACTATATCTTTTTTTTCTTTTGAGTAGCTACATAATTGTTAGGAACTCGCATTGATATATCTATACATATTTTCGATGTAATATCTCTCGGTGTATATCGTAAAATTTATACACACAATTATTATTTCTAACATAATAAACGGCGCAAATGCATGACGAAATTTAGGAAATTTCAATTAAATAGATACGCAGAGTGATGGTAGAGATTTACAATGATGATGGTGTGTCGATCGCGATTCTGCACGACACCCGCAGCAGCAGGCGATTCTGAAAATGATAGCACCGGAAATTCATAGCGGCGGTTGCATACGCGCGGTTCACTCGGCCGCGTTAAATTCGGCCATAATGATTCGACGATCGTGCACGTTCATTTCCGAGGAGTTAATATTCAAAATGAACATTAACAGGACGCACGCTACCGTTAATCTCCAATGGCATGTGGGATCGCTCACGGTACGCCGGAGGTCGCTTTACTGCATTCGCGTTAATTATGCAAATGAATAATTAGCATTTCGATTATTTTGGCAACGTCACTGTCCACCTCACGGAAAATTTATCGCGCCAATATTAATTTATCATTTTTCTCTCGCGTGTCCGAGTCAATGGAATTTATCATTACCGTCGCGATGTAATGCGAGATGGAACGATCCACCCCGGCAAAGTATCGATCGTGAAACTGTCGTCATGCGGATTAATAATAACTAGGCAATAATTTACGACCGGTTCGTCAGCAGTCAATCCCGCTGAGGACTCGTCGTAAAATTCTCGAGGCTCTTGTCTCGTAATGAAGATATTATGAGTCAGGACTGAGGATTGCGAGACTGTCAAGCACGCCATCGGAGATCCACGTCGACCAATCACGAGTATAATGGAAAGAAGAAAATTGAAGAATTTTCGGGCTTGTGACTGGAGAACTTCGTGATTCTTCGACGGAACGAGGTACGCGAATATTAATCGTTCGAATTTACTGTCAAAAGGCTGCTGCACGAATCGAAGAGTGATCAATGCGAACCGATTCGACCTGGCTGCAGAAATAAAGGCCTCAATGTTGCCTCTATGAATATATTCATATCCCTTCATCAATATTCAGAACCTACTTTTCTGACTGCGCTTAAATCCACTAAAATCGCGCGACTCCGAACACGCTCGGCATTCGACGGAGAATGAGACACGATCTTCGATTTCTCATAACGACAGTTTATGCCTCCTCAATTCATGTTCCCATTCCCGATGGCGCTGAGATATATGGACGTAACCGTAATGATGACCTCTCTCTTTCTCCTTCTGTGTTTACTTTCCATAACGGAATATGGAATCTCGACATTATGAATATAGATGTATTTTAACGAAGAAAATACGGCCTACTCGGAACTCGTCCAAATGCATTAACGATCCCGGAGTAATTGGTAGTAAACACTCGTACAACTAATTTACTCGAACTTGGCACTGGTTCGGTTAGGAATCGAAATCGCATAGAAATGGAGGATCGGAGACTTCCTTGGACCATTTCCAATTCCGCTCGACTTCCTCCGCTCTCTTTCATCCGTCATTGCCTGTTGCGTTATTTTGCTACCTCGAAACTACGTGGATCCGAAACGTGAGCCGTATTTTGAGGGCCACGAGGATTAAAGAATCCTCGTGGCCCTCAAATCCTCCTCTTGGCAAACCAGCCCACGTCTCGATCCAGAGGATTTAAGGCGTCTCCAACAAATAGATCGCTGCGCTAATGGATGGGAGTTCCGATTCGATATTGCCTTTCCCTACTCCGATGCTCCGAGCAGGAAATTAGCAAGTCTTAAGAGATCTCCTGTTAATCGTCGGGGTGATTTCTGCGGCGTCGCTTTCGGACAATTTGCCGCGACGAAATTTCATTTGTCCCCTTCCTTCTGCATGCCAACAGTCGTCGACGAACCCTTCGAGGGTCTCTTCTCGCTAATCCACCTTATTCACTCTTTATCTTCTTCCTCGCACTTGCTTTTCGTCGGAAATGGAGCTTACAAAATTAATCGATGCTATCCTGACTCCTCGGCTGAAATCCATAGAATCGCTTCACGACTTCATCCCGATCATTTCCAGAATGAGGGACAGGACGACAATGAATGACAACGAATGAAGAAGGAAATCAGATTCCGTCCGACATTTCTCGGAGTCGGATTAGGAAAGAATTTGTACGAGCATCAAATCTAGTCATCCTGAGGGTCATCTTAAAGCCAACGTGGAAAAATTTCTTTGAATATTTTTCTAATTCTATAAGATAGAATAAAGAAAAAATATCTCTTTTTTTTTATAAAAAATTATTAAGTACTATTTAAGATAAATCTTGATCGTTTATCTTGATTGAAATTATGTCTCGTTTTTACAACTATTTTAGTACTGCGATGATATTGATTATAATCAATTTTTTTTATAAAGCACGTTTTTATCAATGTTTTAAGTATGCGAAATTTGCGAAATTGCGGATTATTTAACGGATACGCGCTAATGTAAATTCCGAATAGTACAATTGAAACCCACTGTTCTCTTCTCTCTCTGTCGGCGATTTATATTCTAATTTCCCAGTGCAATTACAGATATCACGGCGAAATTACACGCTGGTTTGAACGATATCGATAGCGCCCGCGCACTGCACCCTTTGACAATTTTCACGTTGCAGCTGCGTTCGCGTGTCCGTTTGCCAGTCTCATTTGTTACTTGATGCGCACGTAATTAAAATGGGTGCATTATGAGAGAAAAGGAAATATGCTCACCTTGTGCGTCAATGTATCACGTATATCCGCTCGGATGCTCTACTATCAGCAATCGTACGCGCACACACCAAAGAGCACCAAAGATATCATCGATCACAACGGTGGTCTCTATAGATCTTATCTCCTCGTGTGTTCCTCACTTGATATACAAATTTAAGAAAGAGAATTTTTCACTCGCGCACTCGTCGCGGCGGGACGTTATTTACAAATTGCTAACTTTTTCACACAATTTTCTACGTACGTTACATGAGCATCCATTTAGAAAAATGCAAAACTACCGGCGGGCACCTCGATCGCGGCGATATCACCGTGATATCACTAGCTATCGGTGGCCGCGTCTCTTCTCGCACTGGGTCCACAAGGTGCCCATTGAAGAAACGCGACGCGAAAAGGAACAACGTACCAACTAACACCGTACCGTCACGGCGCCACGGCACTAACTGACAAGCTGACGAGAAACTCCAGTTGGTCGACGGCGTGATGGGCCGAGGGGAGGGGAAATAACCCGCGCGGCTCTCGACCCTCTCTCATACGGTCTCGCGTCCTCGTCTGACTGCACGCGTTCACTCCGTCCCGCTTACGGTTTTCGCCCTCCGTCACCATCTAGTGGTAGATCGGCGTACCCTGGCGAGCGCGCGCGCGCGCGCACGCACCGGTTCGCCACCCTTGTGGCGGACAGAAAGGAGGGTAGGCGAAACGAGCACGTGAGGCTGGTAAAGAGCGAGGGGGGAGGGGGTCAGTCGAGGCCCGTATATGGGGACGAGGTTGCAAAATATGTTGTAGAAATGGGGTGGCGGATGAATGCGGTCGCCTGTAGACTAGCGATTTTATTGATCTTTTTTCCACCCTTCAGACGAGTACACGCGCGGCTCGCTTAATTAAGCAACCGGACTAAGGTCATGTACACCTTTGGCGAAGTATTCCGACAGAGTCGTTGGTTAATGAGATAACTTTACAGAATAATTTTTGGCACATTTCATGGGTGATTGATATATATAGCTCGTCTTGCGATCGACCGGGCTTCCAACAGCATTCGCTCGGACAGTTGATAGAAATGCATTCGATGCACGTACAGTTTCTGCATCCGTTTTCAGATGCCGCAATAAATTTTTCACGAATCAGGCAAATGCGAGCGATTAATTTTATTTAGTCCGTCTATTGTACGATAACACGGAAAATATTGATGGCCGGCGTAAACATTAATCATTGCGTTATTAAATCGATATAAATTGACGTGGATGATTAGTAAGGACGTGGGTGTGTAATGAAAACGGATGTATCGCTATTTGTTTTTTGACTGACGGAACATTACTGGCCGATCGTAAATTTTCGGACGTCATCATTCGTAATAATTTATTAGTACTCCGGACGTGAAAACCCATAAGACCGCGCGAAATTGTGAGATATTGTGTCTTATCACTTTCTGGTTCCGACTCGTTCGATCCCCAGAGCAAACTGGTGGGATTCGAATTAGTGTTTATGGTACCCGCGGGCGTACGACAAAATCCCTTTTTGCGAAACGATTGCAATAGCCTGACAAGCGTTAGAAGCTGATGTCATCATTTTTCCTAATATTACTTTGATAAATATCTGTATAAGTTTATTTTTATATGGGAGAAGTTAACATTTGTAATAAAAAAAAAACATTAACTTTATGTATAATATTTAATGAGTTCACATGTCTGCCATTACGTAACGATTAATTAATCACGTGAATTACGCTTCGGGAGATTTAAATGCATCAGCATATGTCCCGATTGTTTGACATTTTCTGTCCTAATCGGAAAATCGGTCACGCTGTAAATCTTTAAATAAACACGATTAATCGTTCCAGACAAGTTTGCGTCCCAAACTTCACAGCCGCGGCGTAGCGAGCTTAAAATGGATTTACTCGATCCGAATGCATTAACGACCGGAGAGAAGTAGTTGCTACTCTCAAAGAGTCCTCCGGCTGGGAGCGAGTGCTAATTAGCGATTCGATCACGAAGCTTCCGGCGCCGGTAGACAACGTCGTCACCTCCACCGGATTCTCTTTGATCCTCTCCTATCTCCGTTTCGTTCTCTTATTCGTGTCTCCCTCCTTTCTGCCGCTACACGCCTGTGGATATCACATATAGACGACGCATACAGATGTCTAGATGCAGCAAGACCGGCGAATTTCTCTAGCAACGTGCCAAAAAGCAAGTGATAAAAAGTTGCGCTCTTTTATTCCTTGGAAGCTTAAGGTTTATATGATAAAGCTAATATGATCGCATTAAAGGTGCACAAAGAGAGTAGAACCTTTTTCTCGCGTCAATACTTGTACATTATTTACTTTGAGAATTGTTTTTAATTAAAAAGTTTAAATATACATTAATACTTTATTTAAAAGTGCTATGCTTGTGTATGATAAATTGTAATATATTTCTTATAAAAATACTACTTTTGATAATATAAATTATCAAATATACATGCGTATTAATCTTTTAATATTCATTACATTTTCTGATCCTGCAAGATTAAGGCACAGTAAGGCATAAATTACAACTGGGTCTACAAACGAACTGTCGCAGGTAATTATGTGGCGCAGAATCAAGAGATGCGAAAGTCAATAAATACGAACAGGACGGAAGATGAAAAAGTAAAGGCTTACGCGGGTTGATCACCAGCGTTTCGTCTTTACCGGGTCTCCCCCTTAACATCGCATCTCGAATCTCATCGTCTGTCTGCTCGCCCTCCTACGGACCAATCCCCGAGTCCGTGTACGCAAAAGGGGGAGGACATGCGCCCGCAGACAAGAGATCTAATATACCCGTCGGTTACATTAGCCGGATTTAATTTAAGCTCCGACCCCACTACGTAAGCGTGCCGCTTATGCTCTCTACCTACCGCGAGTGAGAACACACGTTAGCCCGTGGAGAAGGAAGTCCTTCGAGACGGCATAAACTGTCGGAAGGTAAAAGAGAGACGGATGGAAGATAGGGGGTGCATGCGCCGGTAGCGAGAGAGCCAGTTTATTGTAATTGCGCTGTCGCGCGCGAGCAAAACGTCGCCTCCCACGGCTAACTGAATATTCGTTAATGCTCGACCATTTCACAGGAGGGACAGCTTCATTAACGGCAAAAAATCGCCCTTCTTCCTCGCCTGTGTGTTGCCGCACTTTTTGTGTGTTGCCTCCACGATGAACCTGGTCAGTATTCAAAGCCTTTACATCGGTTCGTCCCGGTTAAAATTCGAAACGCTATTTAATTCGATCGACTTTACTTTGGAAGCACACTATTATACTGAAGAGCGATTACGGAGATACGCGCGATACGAAGGCACCTTTGTCAGAGACGAAGATAGCTGATGGCGCGTCGCTGTCTACGTATGGAGGAATGCTGAGATATTTCCTCTCATGTGGCTTGCTGTTTGCCCGCCATTCGGTCGCCTTTCTTTTTCGACAAATACGACGGTTCGGGAAAAAGAGAGATAGATGCGGCTAAGCTCATATTTATTTATGAGAAAGAAAGTGGCGCACGCGATTTGTCTGCCTCGCGTGGAAATATACATCCCCTCGTCGCGCGTAGCGCGTAAGCGCAAGAGGGGTACGAAGGGGTACGTTCGCGAAAAGTTACGCGCCGTGGGTTCCTAGTGCCGCGGAAAACTTTCGACGCGCCCGAGCGAAATCGCACGTTTCATTGTTACTTTTGTACGTTTTTGAGCGACGATATGGTAGACGCCTCAGCCACCGTCGCCGCCGAATGTATGGCGCAAATAAAACTGCCACGTCGAGCGAAGTTACCGTAACCGTTTTTAATGCTTTATGACATCGGTAAATCTTCGCTGTCACAGGAAGAGGTTCGAATCCTTCCGAGGACACCGACTATCTCTACCGAAAATTGACGAGGTCACTGTGTCGAGGAAACGAAGTTCCTCCGATCCGTTGAATAATCGCATTGGACATCAGGGTCACGTGTGAACTTCCTTAGATACACCTCTCGCGCGCAGAAAAGATCTATCGCCAAACTTTTCGCTGTCGTTGTCACATGCGCGAGGTTTCTCAATTGTGTTTTCTTTGCTTACTTGTAAAATGTTCTTTGTTCTTCATGAGAAAAAATAAATTTTTATACTATAATTAAAATTCACGAACGTATTGAAAGAGTTTTTATGTTTGCGTCAAAATTGCATTAAAATAAAAGACTAAACTTTTGAAGATATCGATTTAACGCATTTCTCTATATTAAAGAAAAGAAAAGAAAAAATGAAAGAAAGTCTATATATTTTCATTAGTGGTTACTGTAGTAAAGTTAACATGTGTAATATACATATATAATATATATTTCAAAAGTTTACGATGTTTTTTCAGTCTCATTTTTGCGTGTCCCCATTGGAATGCCAATCCGATCTCTTGTAAAAGTAATATTTTTCTTAACTGAAAGTCTGTGGGAAGTGAAAATTGAGAAGATTTTTGCATCGATTATATAACGTTTTTGATTTTAACAATAGTTCTGCTATAAAATTTTTTTCAAAAATTCCTTTCATAAATTTTCAAAATTTATACTGACTTAAGTCATTCTACTAGCCTAAGTAGGTTTCAAAAGAAAAAATATCATAAAAATCAGTCAGTAGGACAAGGTTTTTCGTTATTAATATCTCCAAAAATATTGAATTACAATGGTATACTTTTGGATTGTGTATCATAAATTTTCACTACTGAATGAGGAAACAGAGATCCTCACCACCAACTGATTTTGGGATATGAAGAGAACACTATCTTTTACGACAGGTTCTTTTAAAAGGACACGTACGACCACCTACGAAAAGTGAAATTAAACCATTTCATTCTTTTATGTAGAAATATTAAATAATCACATTTAATAAATATCTAATGATTATATTTTTTATAGTTATTTAAGTGTATTTCTAATTTTTATACAAAAAGTTTCCATATCATCACGATATTTGATGTCTTTCACATTGGTTAAATTACTGTAAAAATTGTTATATAAGATGAAGAAATATAAATTTATTTTAATTCTTTAATTAGCAATCATCTTTGGCGTACTTATAAATTATAATAAAATATGTTGACATAATCTACTGCTAAAAATAATCTACTCTAAATTTGTCATAGAATTTAGCTGGGCTACAACTCAGTTTTAAAATATTCTTTCTGTATGCGCACGTATCATATATTTTCACCGATTCATCGCGCTGAAACTGAAATGCTATAGAGACTGGGAAGGTGATATAATAACGCTATATATATTCCAAGAATTTTACCAAGATAATACGCGTAAGAAGCACCATTGTTACGTGAGCGAGATAGATTCGCTTATTGATCAAAACTGCGCGTAGGCGATCGTACAGCGCAACGCGATACTCGAAAAGCTATTATTGCGAGCTTTGGGATGTTTTCCGCAGCAACACTGAGAATCTGATTTCACCCGGAATCTCGGAGCGTGTATGCGGTATATGCATACAGAGACGATATACGGACGGAGATTTTATTGGAAAACGGAAATCCGCTCTC